GCTCCCATGGCCATCCTGCAGCACCAGCAGATCTTGCTTCCACCAAGTTCAACTGATTTTTCTATTCCTCCCACAGTGTGCCTGGAGTGACCAAATGCCATCTTTCCATGTCTTTTTTCCTTGTTTTTGTTTCTGTAATACCATATGTTTTGGAAGGCAGGGTACCTCAAAGGCACCCCGAAATGAAACCCACCAGTTAAACATGGGAAATTACTATTCTCTTTTACTGCAGTTTCAGCTAAAAAATGGAGACTAAGGAAAATCATGCAGAGAAGCTAAGTTGGGGATTCTTTTTTTTTTTTTTAATCAGTTTTCTTTACTGAGATGAAAACACCTCAGAAAATCTCCAAATCATCACCTGGGTGATGGGAGTTGGTAACACGGAGAGGGGGCCCTTCCCTGGGGCAGGATTTTTAATAACTTCCTCACCACGGGAGGCTGTTAGAGAATCTCAGCTGGAAGATTTTTTTCACCCAGCTGGATCTTGCAGTCTTCTTACATCATTAACTCACCGAGATAATTTCTGAAGAGGGGTTTGTTTGGAGCTGGTTTGATTTCCTTCCTGACAAACCTTCCAGGTAAATCTCAGTGCTTTTTCATTTTCCAAGGGAGAATAAAGTCTCTGATGTGACAATCACTGTGTCCTGCTGGACCAGCACTATTGTCCCAGGGTAAGGGAATGCAGATGACAAGTTGTGTGGCTCCTCTGCAGCAGCAAGGGCTCTGCCTGATGGATCCTGGCTGCTCTGCTGAGCACTGTCCCCGAAATGCCGGAGCTGGTCCCGCTGGGATGCGATGCCAGACAAGGCACAGCAGTGCTGGGGCAGCAGCAGAGCTCAGAGCCCCCCGTGCCGTGTCCTGCTCCTCAGCTCACGCTTCAATTGGCAGGTTTGGGGCTGAGAAGAAATGTTTCTTTCACAGCACATTACCAGCAATCACAGTCTTTCTTTCCCCTTTATATCTAAAGAAATCCTTGCTATTGCCAGGGCCAGAGGTCAGCCCTTTCCTTTCTGCTGCTTTCTCTGCCACACGTCTGTTCTGCTTCTCCTTTTCCATTGCTCTGGAGTTCGTAACAGGTTGGGTTTTTTTTTTTCTTACCTTCAGCTGAGCACTTGGGTTTTGATGATTTTTTTTTTTCTTAGTATTTCTTTTCAAGAGCCTTGCAAACAAGACTCCAGACTTTGGGACTGTTTGGGCACCCATCCATCTCTTGAACAGTGCAACTCTGGTCAGCTCCTGGTCTAGCAGGAGTACCACCAGGTCATATTTTAAGTCCTTAGCAAATTGTTACTGGAAAATGACCCTGCAGCCATGAGTTTCCCAACTCAGTAATCCAACTGCTGCTCTTGCACTGCTTTTAAATGAGTTGCCTTTTAATTCTATCAAGCACTTGCTTGGTCTCACTGCACGGGGAAGGATAAATATTGCTCCTACTCCAGGAAACAAAGTGGCTTTGACTGAGAAAATACGCCTTGGGGAGAAATTGGTCTGGCCTGGCTGTTGTGGATGACACGGGGGGAGAGGGAAGGGGAGTGTCTCTGTCCAGGGCTGCTCCCCTGTGCTCCCTGGCCTCTCCCCACGGCTCATCCCCGGCTCAGAGGGATGACTTGGGAGTGACAGGGGAACCCAGGCTCCATTACACCCGAGTCGTTTGTCACTCTGCAAGGAGCAGTGACAAGGAGGACAATTAGTGCGAGCAGGAGGTGATGTTTATGATGTGGAGCCTCGTCCATTAGCCAAGTGTTTATCAGTTGGGTGTTTGCCCATCCCTGAAGGGCAATGAGGGAGTTGGTGGGGTCAGCAAAAGGCCTCACCATCCTTCTCCAGAGACTCAACTTTCATTAAAGGGATCATAAAAATTAAATAATAAAGCAGTTCTCTGCTGTCACTTGTGGCAAAGCCGTCCTGAGCAGCAGAGGCAGCTGATGCTGCCTGTGTTTGCAGAGAGCCTGGACCAGGATTCCCCAAGCAAGAACCACAGAGCAGAGTGGGCAGGGGATGCCCCACGTTAAGCATTTGTGGGTGGGGGGATTCAGTGCATCACTGTTCTATGGATTCTGCAGCTGTAGCTACCAAGGAGCCATCACACTGTCACTGCTTTTAATCCTCAGTCAGCACAGGGCACAGGAAAGGTTTAATTCCTTGAAGTGTAGCCTCAGTTTGCAGATGTGGCTCAGGAAATGGATTCACTCAAAGCAGAACAAACCCACGGGGTCGCCACAAGGCAGAACTGTGACAGGACATGGCACGTCCTTCCTCCCCAGGCAGCCTTGAGCCACTTCTCCCCAGAGATCCACCGCTGGGCTTCGCCACTGCATTCAGTTCGTCCTTCCAGGGGGCAGGGGGGTCTCCCACATTTGGCACATGCTGTCATCCTGCTCAGCCTGAATTTCCCAGTGAGGCCGAGGCGGAGACCTGGGCTTCCCAGGGACGTGTCCCATTTTCTGCTTTCTGCTCTGGCAGAGCTCGGGAGCCCGCGGAGAGGGACGTGCTGCGCCGCTCCCTGCCCAGAGCGCTGCTCCGGCAGCCTCACGACGGGCTCCTGGTTGTTTTTGCTGTACCTGTGGGTGGATGTGGGAGTCTTTGATCATCTGGGATTACTGCAGCATTATGAGCTTTCAAACAGCAGCGAATGCTCTGGATACAAAAGTGGGTCATGTACGGTGCTGTGCCGGGGATGCTTTGATGCGCAGGGAGAGGGGGAGGCCGGCACGGAGGATGGAAGGATGGACCGGGCATGGTTTGCACGGTGCAGGTTCAACTTCAGTTCAAATCTGGGAGTTTTGCTGGGCGTGCTGGCAGGGCTGCCTGGGGACAAAAGGCTCTCTGTGGAGATGGAGGACTGCCTGTTTCCAGAGATAAGGAGGAAATGTGGGAGATCGAGGCATGAACAGGCTTCCCTGTGCCCAGCACTGAGCTTCCTCCTCTCGCTGGCCCCGGAGTGGTGCAGAACACAGGAGCTGCTGGGAGGTGGGAATCACACCCAGCCACAGCCCCATCCCATATTCCCTCAGATGTGTTCTGCTGCTAATGAAATAATGTAAGAGACATCATTCCCCGTCACTTCCAGTTACACCCCCCACGCCAGAGCCTGCCACCGTCCCCTCTTCGCAAGGGTAACAAACCTCTGCTAAAAAGAAAGGCCATTAATAATAATTACCACAAAGAAGAAAAAAATAAACCTCTCTCTTTCTCTCTCTTTTTTTAATGAGCCCTAAAAAAATAAGTTTCTTAATTGAAAAGCTTTCTACTTTGGAGTCAGCTCCAGCACTTCAGAGCAGCCCAAGCAGAGCTGGCAAGCGAAGATGAAACGGAGGAGTGGGTCAGACAGTGCCTTATGGGGGCTGAGAGACAGACCTCAAAGCCAGGGGCACATGGACACCATCACTGACATTCAAGGAACTATCAACAAGGCACTAATTGGATTGAAAGGAGGCAGCAGATGGAAAGAACCAAAGCAGGAAAACAGCTTTGGAGCAAACATCATTAGAAAGAGAAGTTTAGGCAAGGAAGAGGAGCCAGTCCTGAGCACAGGAGCCACGTGAGGGAGGCTCCTGGAGAGCCCCCAATACTCCCTGTGCCCATGGGGAGGATCAGCAGGCTGGGGCTTCTCCTCCTGCCTCTGCCACAGGCTGTGGGGGCTCAGCAGGATGATCCACTCACTGGAGCACAGGAGAAGCCAGCGCGTGTCATGGGAGGGTGCGAGTGGCTCCGTGAGCAGGACCTGCTCCCTCAGGGTCTTATGCAGAGGCTGTAATTCAACTCTGAGCAAAACTCATCGAGGGCAGGGAGTAATCTCCTCTCGTCTGGAAGGGGCCAGAGGATTTATGAACCCACCTGTCTGGTGGTGAAGTGCCCTCTTGGTAAATGCTTTGCTAAGTGTTCGTTCATCTTCCTCCCTGGCAGCGGCAGTGCAAGGACAGGCAGCCCCGAGCAGGGGGGAGGAGGGACAGCAGGGACATTAGCTTGGCCTGATGATCACTCTCCATTCAGGACCGGGTACTGACCCACAGGATGACAAAGGGCCCCAGGAGAATTAATTTAAACCACTGCTGTGGTGCAGAAGGCCGAAAGCCACGAGCCACCTGCATGGTACAGCTGGCACCAGATCATTTCCCATTCCCATTTCATAACTATTAAGCTAAAGCTTTATCAGCTGGCAAGACAGGCCCCACTGCTGGAGCATCCATCGCTCTGATGTGAACAGGTCACTGAGAATGGCCACGGACATGCAGCCCCCAAGTGATGAGGGCTCATTTCCCCGCCGCACACGTGCCCGTGCGGGGTGGCTGCTCTTCCTGTGGCGTTCACTGCCTGGCAGCTGCCCAGCCCCGGGCACAAAATGCTTCCACTGAGGCTTGATCGATCACCTCTCACATTTGGCTACTCACTCGCTGGATTAATGAGCCGTGGGATCCAGGATGTGGCAACGTGCTCTTCCTACCGGCATCGATGTGGCCTCTCCCCCCGTGGCTGACCCAGAGCCAAGGTACAGCCCTGAGTGCCCACAGTGTCAGCACCCACAGCAGCCCATCCTGCTCCCTGTGCATCGTGCTGGGGAGCTGGGAACGGCTGGAACAACTCAGGACATCTCCAGAGAGCCCAATATTTAGAAGATAGGAAGAGCCAGTGTGGGCTCAGTACCCTGATGCTTTGGTGCTCCTCTCCCACCTCTTTCCATATTTCCAACTTTTGTGCCCTTGCTCAATAGAGCCTAGTTGTGGCATAGCCCACACAGAATTACCAGAAGCCCAAAGTACATTATTTTTGTGCAGGCAAATATTTTTCTCAGCAGACACCCCAGCTTGGCCAGCGTGCCCCTGCTGCGCTGGCCCTTAAAGCAGCTCCACAAATTGGACATTAACATCGTTGGGATAAATGATGTAAGGAAGAAAAGGGATACAACAGCCACCATCAGGCTCTACCTCCCAAATTGGCTCAGAGAAATTAGCAGGAAGGAAGGAAGGATCAGACAAAATGATAAACCCGCTTACCTGCTCATTAATTTAATCTCTTCTTTTTTTCCTCCCCTCTCCCAGCCTTGTGGTTTCTGTAACTGTAGGGAACCAGAGAACAGCAAAGTCCTAGATGAAAGGGAGACGACGTCTGGAAGCACAAAGATTAAAGGAGAGTTTTTAGGATTAGCCTTTGATTATTATTTTTTTTTGTGTCTTGGGTTTGTGGTGATTATTCCTGCTCCTCTCCGAGCAATCCTTCTGGGTGTATCTGAGGGAGCTCATGGGCTCTCCAGCAAGTTCCGTGTATTTTTCCAAGGACACAGCAATAAATGTGCACCAGCCCCTTCTCCCCTTCCCCGCGCTGCAGCTGGCAGCGTTCCCCTGGGGCAGTGATTGAGTGGCTGGGGTTTGCAGGCTGTTTGTGAGCAGGGACCACAAAGCTGCTCCTAAATCACTCAGGCTTGGATTTATGAAGCGGGACCTGGTTGGGGACGGCGAGAGAGCCTGGGAGAGCCTGGCCCAGCCAGGGAGCAGCCCTGGAGCAGGAGGGCTCCTTCCTCCAGCACCAGGGGAGCAGGAAGGTGGGTGCAGGGCTGGCCAGGGCTCAGGGGGCTCCTCCTGGCAGTGCTCCTTACCCGCTCCATTGGCGCAGCCTCCAGTGGAAAGGTCCAGCCCGGCACCAGAGGAACAGATCCCAGCTGTGCTCACCTAGAGGGGAACAAGGAGAGGCTGCCTTAGGTAACTCCTGCAAGAGATGTGCACCATGGCCATGCATGGATGTATGGACTTCATTTGGAACAGCTTTTTCCTGTTGAGTCCCATCTGGAAACCAGGCTTAGCCCCAAAAGGAGGACTCGGGTTCTGGCGATGAAGAACCAAAGCAAACTGCGAGGTGCAAGTGGCAGTGGGTGCTGTGTCCCAGCAGGGCACAGGCAGGATGGGGACGAGAGACTCCCACCCACCTGTGCAGACCCACAGTGACCAGGCAAAGCCAAGCACCATCAATTTTGTTTAGCCAACATCCCTGGAGCGTTTCCAAAACCAGCATCAAAACAAACAAACAAAGTAGCAAACCGGGGTGAATTTCCGGCGTGAAAAAAACAAACAATTTTCTTGCTAAGAAAAACAACCGAAGGCCATTGCTGGGAGCCAGCCGAGGCAGGGCAGCTCAGCACAGCCCGGCACAGCCCCTGCTCCCACCTCAGCCCCTGCTCTCTCATGCAGGCAGAGCTGTGGCAGCAATCGATGGAGCAGCGAGACGGAGAGGAGGCTGCACCAGGCTCACAATGTGATTTATGATCTCGCAGCCAGGCTGAAGGGCTGCGGGTGGGCTCTCACAGTGCCAGCAGGCAGCCTGCAATTAGGTGACCCCCCGGGTGTCCCTATTGATTCTGGGGAGGAAGGTGTACTTTTCTCATTACGCCCCTGGCAGCAGCAGCGGCTGGGCTGTGGCAGGAGGCCCTGGCACAGGAGCAGCTCTGGGTGCAGCTCAGGGGGTCACTGGCAGCCTGGCAGGGTGGGGGTGCACACGGTGCTCACCAGGCACCCCTGCTCTGGGGGCTGGCTCTGCTCTCCCATCTGGGGCAGATGGGTACCAATGTGCTCCTGTCCCCTGCTCTGGCCACCTTTGCTGCTGCTCACGATGTCCCAGCTGGATGTCCCAGTTGCTCAGGCCAGGCCAGGCTCTGCTGGCACCTCTGCCTTCCACGACAAGTCCCCCGCTTCAGGCCTGGGAGTAAAGAGTTCATTTCTCAAGTGATGCTGCCTCCTCCTCACTCGTTAAACAAAGGAGGGGGAAGAGCCCGACAAGACAGAGTTCCTAAATTAATCAGCACAGTTTCCTAATGAATGCCCTTTATGTTTTACATAATAATATAAAGCTTTTTTTGGAGACAACAGCCTCCTACATCAAAGATCCCTCTTTCCCACTCTGAACTTTTGAGCCCTTCTCCTCACAATTAATGCAAAAGGAACTAAATAAAGTTGGAGAGCAGCTCGAGATCATATCGGGAACGAGGCAGCAGGGCTGGCCCTGCTCAGCGGGCACCAGCACATCACTGGCTGCTCCTGCCTGCAGGAACCTGCTCTGCCTTTGCTTGGCTGCGTGTGCACACGGAGAGAGGTGGAATTGCTGGAGCAGCCACAGCGACCGGGGGTTGTGGTGCTCCGTGGCTCTGAGCTGGCATCACTGCCTGAGAGGTGGCTCAGAGGAGGAGGTTTAATTTAATTCTGCAACCTCCGAGCCTGTGCCTGGATGCTTTGCACTGTGTGTTGTGCAAACACAGCGGGACAGGCTCTGGTGCCCATATTTACCCTGCTCCCTGGCCAGCCTGGAACACTCCGGGAGCTTAATGCAGGATAATGCCTGAGGGCTGATGACCAAGGGCATCTGCACCAGCCCTGCCAGCCCTTGGTTGGCTGATGTAGGTACAAAGCTTGGCCATTTCCCTTCAGAGGAGCACGTGCAGGACTCACAGAGGGCTGATACAGCAACAGCCCAGGAGCAAGATCTCTGTGGTTTAGTCCATACGGTGGTGATCAGTCATAGGTTGGATTTGATGATTTTGGAGGTCATTTACCACCTTAACGATCCTGTGACTCTACGATATCTCCAGCCTAGATGAAGACTCCCACTCCTTCCCCTTCATCCTCCTCTTCACACGGCATCCTTTGGGAGAGCCCAGCCAGCCCCAGCACATGGGAGCCGTGGGTGTGCTGAGCTCCTGAGTCCACTCTGCCCCATGCCGGGATCTCTCTGCCCTGTTCCGGCTGGATGAGCTCTGTCACTGCTATTCTCGGCTCTCTGCAAAATGCTAATTGCTGCGCTTGACCTCCCCGGGATAATGAGGGGAAACCTCCCCTAATTAGCACTGCAGTCTGTGGGTGAGAGAAACCAAATGTTGACTGTAGAGCGGCTGCACTTACTGTAAATTCCAACATATGCTGTGGAAAAACGCCGCCCAAATAAGGCTTCGGAAGCACGGGGTGTTTAAATAATAATGAATACTCACTGCTGTTTATTACAGAACAGAACGTAATCAAGGCAAAGCTGTGGTGGCGTGTCCTCCTCCCTGCCAGGACGCGTGAGAAGGGCCAGCAGCGGAGGCGCGGGAATCCCCGGGACACAGACAGGCTGCAGCAGGAATTCCAGGTGTGTGCACAGGATTTCCAGGCATTAGCAATAAGACCTGCGGTGTCCCTTGAGGGGACCCTGCGGGACAGCTGCAGTGAGGGCTTGCAGCTGGTGAGATGTTCTCCAGCACTTACAGGTTTCTGCTGGTCACTTGCGGTAGTCCAAAGCATATAAAATATTTGTCCTAATTAGGTGTAATTACCACTTAACCTGGAGGAGGGATGTACCCAGCGTGCCCGGCAGCTCGATACACTCACAGCTGAATTGCCTCTGCTGCAGATAATTAAAAGAGAAGGGCTCCTGCCTGCCTTGGCCTCGTGCAGCCGAGTGTTTGCTGAACCCCGTGTGCCCGAGCTCATCCCAGGGCTGCCGGCTCCTCTCAGCGGAGCCCGGAAGCCCAGCCGGCCTCATTTCACTTGCAATTGCAGTGTGGTTATTCCCTCTTCTTAGTAATTCAGCTCCAGCCCGAGCTGTCCTTCCCTCACCCGTTTCCTGCCTCCAAGGAGACCTGCCCGCCCGGCTCTGTCCCTGGCGAGCGGGCTCACGGCTGCTCCTCGCTCGCTCCTGGCCACGGCCTCATCCCTCTGCTGCTCCTCAGAGAGCCGGGAAGGTGAGAACAAATTGTTAATAAGATGCCCAATTAACATTTCTTCAATCAGAGTTATGTCAGGAAAAAGAAACAGGTTCATTCACATGGTTATTGCTTCCCTGCTCTCGCTCTGTCCTGCACGGATTGACCAAGGATAGTTTCTCCTGCCCACACCAAGCTTTGCCCGAGCCCCAGCTCCAAAGGGACGAGAGGATCACCCATGAATGCTCCCTCTTCTGTCCCCCCTCCTCAAGGAGAACAGTGACAGCTGCCTAACTGAGTTTCAAGGACTTAAACATGTTTGGGCAGAGCTGTGCAAAAAATACTCATTTAGACCAGCACGTGCCCAGGGGCTGAGGGAAAATGCTGTTCCCTCCCTGCAGCACCGAGGTCAGAGCAGCCTGTGGAGAGCCAGCTCCTGGGCATGCAGGAGCCAGCTGTGCTGCCACATTCCAGCCCTGTGCCCACGCCCAGATGCCAGTTCTCCTCCCTGCTCTCCTCCCATGGGATGCCACACGGGGCAGCGGATGCAGCATCTGGCACTGGCTGTGGAACGTCACATCCCCATCGAGCCCTTGCCCAGGACACCCAGACAGCCCCAGTGCTGGTAATCCAGCCCTTCAGGACAAACCCTCCCACCAACTCATTCCAGGACCAGCTGCTGCTGACAGACAGAGGGTTTCTGGCCTTGCTGGACCCAATAAACAGCTGTTCCTCCCCGCTCCCGGCCATCAATCGCAGCTGACAGCCTTCCCCCCATGGTCAGCACTGTGCTTTTCACCTTAATTTCTTAGAAGGGCTTTTTCACCAGTTGGAAACTCATAAATACCACTTTGCAAGCCCAGGTAGGGCTAATGATGGATGGCTGCTCCATAGATATGCCAGAGGCTGTGACCTAATTGTCACCGAAATACTTCCTGATTAACTAATAGATAAAACCCAATTAAAACTTCTGCTCTTCCCAAAGTCCCTGCTGCCTACTATTTTTCCCCTTCTCAAACTCTGTCTTAAATTAGATCCAGCCTGGCTCAACTGCTCTGAACAGATGAGGACACTCTGCCTACCATCTTACCTGCAGCCAAGGGCACTTTTGTGCTGTTTGAGGCCCTGGGGAGGTCCCAATGGACCCAAAGAGGGTTTTGCAGCGAGCCCACAGGTGTAAAATCCCTCTGTAAAACAGAGGATAATGACAGCAGGGAGGGCATGCTCTATTCCCCCTATTTTTCTTTCTCCTCCTCCGCTGAATAGAACTGCTGCACAGAAAAGCTGCTTTAGCACATTTGCTTTGATGTGCAACAAGTTAATTACTGTAATAGGTTCATCCTTCTCCCCCAGTATTGAATCATGTAGAACATCCATATAAATTGTCATGGAGTTCCTCATTTTGACTCCATTTGTTCTTTAAGCAGCCCTAGCAAGAGTGTTCCTGAAGAGGGATTTGTTCCAAATCCCAGGTACCAGGTGTATCCATTATTATTTGTTCTCCTGATACTCATCTCAGTCACTTTTGGAGGGAGGGGGTTCATGGATGCCTCATCCTACGACTGCTGGGCTAGGGAGCAATTCCAGAGAGCACAAGGCTCTGGAGCCCAACTGGCTCCTGGCCTGGGCCCCTTTTCCAGCTGCAAAGGAAACCCAACTCCTCATCTCATGTTTTCAGCATCAACCCCTCTGCCCATGAGGTGAGCAGCAGGTGGAAGGACACTATGGAAAACATCACCTGGAGGGGGATTCCTGCTGTGTTCTCCAAAGGCTTCAGCTCAGGCTGTGCAGCTGCCTTCCCAACAAGCTCTGAGCAGCTCATACCTGGGAGGGACTTGGTGTGGGGAGCAAGGTGGGGGAACGCCTTCAGCCTTCTCTGCACCATCCTCTGCTACCTCTCAGATGTGTTTTTCTCTTAAATGTTTATGTGAGGAGGGCTGGGGAAGTCCCTGGTGCCTCAGAAGGTGACATGGATGCGCAGGAAGCTCCCTACACCTGGGATTT